CCGTAAGTCGACAGCTTTGACAGGCGGCCAGGGGAAGATGAGATTTAAACTCAACGACGCGCCGTGATACCTCCAGACGGAGTTCATCAAGGTCAGCAGTTTCGAGCTGTTACAGTGAAGCCATGACTGGAATACAAGCAAGATATCAAAATAATGCCCCAAGCCAAGGGGCTACGATGCCACGTGATGTTGACAAAATGTCCCATGGCATGCAAGGCAGGATGGGGGAGGACCGATTCTATGGTCACAGTTGCACGCTTTGCTGGATAGAAGTCGCCTTTAAAGTAGATTATTACCGTCAAATGTTAATTTTCAACAGATTTTTTCTTGCCAAAAAATACCACGCCAATTTTTCTAAAACCAACGATGCAATAAACCGGCGAAGGTGATGTGTTTGGGCTGTCTTGTCTATCTATTCTATTTCGAATTGATATAGCGCAATTGTAAAATTGTGAATCTTGGTCTAGTATGTCTCCAGAGCTAAATGTAAACCCTAAATTGTTGTTGTGCAATTCACAATGTAATTGTAATTTTAGATGACTATGCCGTTGTAATTGCAATTGTAATTTAATCGCTGGCGTGACACATTTATGAAGATGGTCCTGAACAAGTGCTGTTTATATTCCATATTCTGATACAGCAATCAGTCTCTAAATAACCACTAAAACATTTAAGAGACCCAGTGCCAGGCCAGTGGTAGGTGCACATAAACAAAAACAACCTTGCCAACTTAATAATTAACACTGCCTTGAGAAAACAAGGAAATTAGATGTGTTCCCCCCTTATTTATAAACCAGTGTTAACACCAAACTGTGCCAGTTACTTGGTTTGTGCACATTACAATTACAGGACTGTTTACTTACCACAGAATAGCGCTCATTTATTGGCCATGGTGAGATGATGATTACGATGTACTGATTGTGAGCGTGTACTGGTGATGATCACAAAGCAATGGCCATTTTATCATACCCAGTAAAATTATGATGTATGGATGGATGACGATTATTTACCGATGATCATGATGGTGTACCGCTGGTGAATGTGACAATATACGATCGTGACAATCACAAAGGAGTGCTCATGTTACCAACCCCCTGCAAAGGAAGATGACAATTATGATACAGTACTAACGAAAACGTCAATCGCGGTTTGAACTAATGAAGCAAGCACCGACACCAATGCCAGCCATTGATCAATCCCCTGGTGGATGACGGACCCCTCGTGTCGAGCAGTGTGCGGGGTTCTGATAAAACGCACTTGGCACAACATTCACAACCGTTGGCATCTCGAGAAGACTCCATACGAATACATTATTTGGTGGCGGTGCGTTTTGGAAACAATTGTGCTCGTGTGTTGCACAAGCACAATTAACAACAAAAAATCACTAAAAACGTTCGTTCATAACACCGCTTTAAAGTGCTCCAAAGAAGGGCCCATTGCCCAAAATGCATACCTGTCAAACCCTCATCAGTGCCTACTTCATACAGACCAATTCAGACCTTATTGGTCACCCCGTGCCCTTCTAAATCTCAATGTTCATCCTACAAAGCCCCATGACAAGGAAGAACTACAAACAAATAGATTTTAAAAAAATTCGTTGCCCGTATTAAAACGGCTGAATGCCGTATTCAACCTGAACTCTCAATGTCGCTGTACAGGAATATGGATAAACCGTGTGGGTTAACAGGTATGAAAACGTCCCCATATGTTTTTCCTTTTAAGGCCAGTGTCACTGACGGATGTTGAGTTTTAATATTCTATATGAAAATAACGTTAAACCGAGACACATTCCATACGATGTGCACCATAAATGTATGCGCTGATTGTGGTGCGATGTTCATATGAACTGCCTTGTTCCTGTTCTAGATGCCGTATTCATTGTTTAAAACTTTAAGTTTACGATGCAAATATGAGTGTTTGTGTGTGTGTACTTGTCATGAATTGTTATTGTGTATTGGGAGAGCAGTAGTGTAGCGGTTAGCGCGCTATGAAACCGGCCATACGAGTTTGATTCCTGCTCATGGCCAACACCAGTGACGATTATCTGAACCAGGCCTAGGCCTCCCCTGGGTCGACTTGGCCTCAAATGAGTACCTGGTCTAGTGTATAAAACATCCGCACTCGGTAAACAAAGGCGACCGGGCGTGGAGCTGGCCACCAACCCCCTCGTGTGCCGTGCTGGCCTTCATAGCTGCTTGCGAACAGCGCTTGCTATGGATGTGTTACTTGAAACCCCTGGACCGCCCTTGCATTATGTCCCATCTCAAGGGATTTATCCATGCTTCACCACACCAGTCAATGCGGGTTCATGCAAGTGGGAGAGCACAGCACAAGGTGAGTTTATGATTGTGTGTATTGGTCCTCCCATCGTGCATTACGTCTCATCATCACACTGTGTGTGGAATGCACACAGCCTTGTTTCAGACAAAGAGTAAAATGTGGATGCATTATTTCCGGGAGCAGTAGGATGAGACAAATGTGTACAGTGTGAAATATTTTTTGTTTTATAAAGCCTAGTTTGTGCAAACTGCATCTCACAATCACCGAGGAACCACAGACAAGCTGAACGGAAGCAGCTTGGCAGTGAGGCGATGTCAACAATTGCCCAAGCTCTGCGGTTCTCAATATTGTGTGTTCATACTTGTTATGAGTCATCAGCAGAGAATAGACATAATTGCGTTCTGCTGCCTTGTGCCTCACGGGCTATTATGTGGAGCAGCAGGCTCGCAAAATATCCGAGTAAAAACAACACGAGGAAATTGAGCATTCGATACGGCAAATGTGATATTGTGACCGTAGCCTCAACCCTACCAGACAGGGTGCCTTCCTTGCACATGGCATGGCAGTGCAGCATAATGCTAGGCGTGTATAGTTCACACAAGCCTAGCTTTAAACCACCAACACGCATCGTCCTACTGATGTCTCAACATTAAAACAAATCATGGATTATAATGGATATTGGTATGGTCGATGATGATGATGTTGAGTGATGATGCAGACATCTTGTGATGAACTAAAAACAAAATAAAATGCAAATAAATGTGTCAATAACACTGTGGTCTTATAAAAGTTGACGTTATGGGCGGTGGCCCTTCCTCACAACACATAGGCGTGGGAGGTAAAGTGGTCTCTGCATATGTTATGGTTCTTTCGGTAAAGTCGCGTAGATATAAAACAATTATAACAATCAAATAATAAAAAATAAAGTGAATAAAAAATAATACAAATATCACGACGTTTCGATCGCAACACAAGCGGTCGTCATCAGGAATAGGGAGTGGCCTCTGCATGTGCTGTGTTGTGAAGGGTCATTGCCTGAAACGTCACATATATAGTTGTTTTAGGTCACACAGTGATATTGACAATTGCGCTCAGTTTTGTTGTTGTTTGTGCACCACAGCCAACGCAGTATCAGCGAATATTTAATATTTTATGGGTTCAGATGTGAATGGGGTAATGAGGCGTTTTAATTTTGTGAATGTAATAATAAACTGATTATGTTAATTCGGTTAATGATGTTGTGTTTTACAATGTGTTGGTGTTTTACGAGGACTTTTATGATGAATTTGATGATTGTGATGAAACAACGTCTTGATTAGTTGATTACGAAGTTGACGATGATGTGCTGATGAAAACGTGACGATGAATTTATTATTTTATTGAGAAGGAATGATGCTGCTGCTGATGATTATTGTAATGCTTGTTTACCCCAGAAAGTTTCACCGAATAGCGTGACTTTTTTAAAAGATTTTTTGCAGTTTGGGACAACGGTAGCTACGCATTATTCTACGTTGCCACACAACGGTCGACTCTTGCGAATGATTTCACACGGGATCTTCAACGCCCACTGTGGTTAACGCAATATTAACCAGGGCGGCCGCAGCATTGGAACCGTAAACGTCAGCAAAAAACGCAGCTAACTCGCTACTATGGCAATGCCCCATGATGCTGTTTGGCCTCGCCTCACAAAGCAACCCTTCTGTTTACTCTGTTGATACTGCTGATGAAGATGTTGTTGTGCTAATGATAACAATAACGCTGCTATTGATGATGGTGGCGGTATTAGGAGCCCTTCTGCTCACTCTGCGTTGCTAATGCGACGATGATGATTGTGCTTATGTTGATGTGCTGATGATGCGGCTGTGATAACAGTTAGGCCTGGTCTTACAAAGGAATCCCTCTGCTTACACTGTGCTGCTGATGACGATGGCTGTGGCCGATGAAGATCGTGTCGATGTGCTGATGATGGTGATAACTGCTGCTGCGATGGCGGTGTTAGAGGCCCGGCCTCACAAAGGAACCCCTCTTGCTTGCACAGTGCTGACGAGGAAGATCGTGTCCATGTGCTGATGCTGTTGATGATGCCAAGGCGATAGGCCTGACATCACACCCCCCCCCCCTCTTACCTACCTACAATGTGCCGATGATTTAATAATGCTGCGGTGAAGATAATGTTGTTGATGCTGATGTTAGGCCTGTTCTCACAAAGGAACTCCTCTGCTTAACACTGTGGTTGATGTTACTGATGATGATTTGGCGATGATGATGGTGATGTTGGGTCTGGCCTCACAAAGGAACGCCTCTGATTAACACTGTGGTTGATGATGGTACTGATGATGATGATGTTGCTGCTGATGATGGTGATGTTGGGTCTGTCCTCACAAAGGAACGCCTCTGATTAACACTGGTTGATGATGTTGCTGATGATGGTGCTGATGATGATGTTGCTGATGATGATGGGGATGTTGGGTCTGTCCTCACAAAGGAACTCCTCTGCTTAACACTGTGTTTGATGTTGCTGATGATGTTACTGATGATTTGACGATGCTGATTTGGCGATGCTGATGATGATTTGGCGATGCTGATGATGATGTTGGGTCTGTCCTCACAAAGGAACGCCTCTGCTTAACACTGTGGTTGATGATGATGGTGCTGATGATGATGTTGCTGCTGCTGATGATGATTGTGATGTTGGGTCTGGCCTCACAAAGGGCGCTTACTCTGATCTCCAGTCGAGGCGGCCGGCCCCGTGAGGCTTGTACCGTTACCGGTCGCACAACGGCAACAGCAGAAGTAACGGCGACGGCATTCGCGTGACAGGATGACTTTTTAAAAACAACAACTGTAATTTAAAAACAACCCAAATCAAAATTAGCGCCGAGTCACTAAGACTATTTACCCTCGGCCACCGGGTTCCTTACATGCTCTGACGTCATATGAACGCTGTGCCCCCGTGACGTCATGTCGAGGATACGCCCCGCGGCAACGTGACGTCACCGCGAGGACGCCTGTGCGATGACGTCATCGCTCGAGGTTAATGGGACAGGGACGACGAGTAAAAGGGGCCGTCCATGAATGACGTCACGCGATTTTGGACGATTTTTGACCCCCCCCCTTCGTCACACGGCGTCACAAAAAGTCAGACCCCCCCCCCTCAAATGTGACGTCACAAAGCTCTGCCCCCCCCAAAACCATATTTCCATTTTGAAAATAAAAGATGCTTCAAATCGCTTTAAACTATTGTCATTGTAGTGCGTATTTAATGTGGCGCTGCACTCTGATGTTGTAGGAGAAACCATTTATTAAAAAGTCTATTTAATTAAGTAGAACGTGTTGTCTATATTTATTTAAAGTTGCGCATTTTGATGTGACGTCACATTTCTCCCCCCCCCCCCCCTCGTCACATCGTCACAAATGTCTGACCACATCCCCCCCCCCCCAATAGGCGCGTGACGTCATTTATGGACGGCCCCAAAGGCGCAGCCCTGCAATTGCTTGCTTTTATCCACTGCTGGGGAAACCCCTCCCCCCACCCTTCCACCTCCTACAGGGACTTGGGATATGAAACTCTAAACAACACTGGCCCTAAAAGCTACAAATAGACAATCCGATCCGGAGAATTCGGCAATGATAGCAACATTGGTTATCGTATGATCAAATTATCAGGAATTCACCCAATCTCGGAAGGGGCCGTAAGCTAAGCAGGATTTGCTTGCGCCTGCCTACCACTTGGATGGGTGACTTCCATGCATAATAGGTGTTATAGGCTGCTTCGGGGTTATTATCCAAGAAAGCCACGCTGAGTCATAGGATCATGTTTTAGGAGGGTCCTACACTGTGTTTTTATTTTGTTTAGGGGCCGTCCATAAATGACGTCAAACACCTAGGAGGGTGGTGGTTCAGACATTTGTGACGATGTGTGACGAGGGGGGGGGGTGAGAAATGTGACGTCACATCAAAATGCGCAACTTTAAATAAATATAGACATAAATGTTTTCTCCTACATCAGAGTGCAACGCCACATTAAACACGCACTACAATGACAATAGTTTAAAGCGATTTGAAGTATGTTTTATTTTTTTGGGGGGGCAGAGCTTTTTGACGTCATATTTGAGGGGGGTCTGACTTTTTGTCACGCCGTGTGACGAAAGGGGGGGGGGGTTAAAACATCGTGCAAGATCGCGTGACGTCATTTATGGACGGCCCCTTATGTTTTTGGCCAATTAAAAAAAAATGAACTCCACCGAAAAAAAAGACTGAATCCATTCGTCAATAACACTGCGTGTGGACTTTAAAAGGAAAAATATGCAATACTCGACGTTTCGGGCAATGGCCCTTCGTCACAGGACACATAAAGAGGTCCACTTTGCATTGGCGAGCTGCAAGAGGTAGGCGGGGCTAAATGTCACGGGCTAGGCCCCGCCCACAAACAAAGATTCCCCGTAAAGTTGAATAAACTTTGAATAAACTATTGGGGCAAGTGCTGTTAGCGAGCACCGATTAAGGCCTGAACGGCACACGAGGGGGTGGGTTTCCAGCACCACGTCTCCCTCGTGGCGATGTTTACTACACACCGCACCAGGTACTCATTTGAGGCCGAGTCGACCGAGAGGAGGCCCAGAACCGGTTCAGACAATCCTCATCAGCGTTGACCGTGAGTGGGAATCGAACTCGTGCGTGGCCGAGGTTCCCGGCTCTCCACTCTCCCCCACAAGCTGACGTCACCGCGAGCAGGGGGGGGCGGGGCCTCCGTCGCCCCGCCCACCTCTTGTGTGACGTCAGCCGCTATAAAAGCACCGCCCCCCAGCGCTCCGTGCGCTTGTAAACACGGCCGGCGATGTCGGCGGGCCGCGGGGAGCGAGGCTCCTCCGAGCGGAGCAAGAAGCCGAAGGAAGGACGCAAGAAAGGTGAGAGACTGCGGGGGACAACCTCACACAGACCACCGCTCGCCCCAGCAACACGTGGTCTTGTCCGTCTGTATGTCCGCCTGTCTGTGCGTGAAGGTCGCCCACCTCGTGGTGCGTGTGTTTGTGTTGGTGAGTGAATGAGTTGGGGGTCCGTCAGTCCCCCCCAACACGTGTGGGTTCGAGCTGTCCCGTCTGGGGGTTGCAAGTGTCAACATGTGTGACACGTGTGTGTGTGTGACACGTGTGTGTGTGTGTGTTAGTGTCCTATGGTGCGTGTGATGGGTGTGTGTGTGTGATGTGTGATGGGTGTGTGTGACACGTGTGTGTGTGTGTGTGACACGTGTGTGTGTGGTAGTGTCCTTTGGTGTGTGTGATGGGTGTGTGATGGGTGTGTGTGTGTGATGGGTGTGTGTGTGTGATGGGTGTGTGTGTGTGATGGGTGTGTGTGTGATGGGTGTGTGTGTGTGTGATAGGTGTGTATGTGTGAGTGATGGGTGTGTGTGTGTGATGGGTGTGTATGTGTGTGTGATGGGTGTGTGTGTGATGGGTGTGCGTGTGTGTGTGATGGGTGTGCGTGTGTGTGATGGGTGTGTGGGAGCGTGGTAGTGTCCTTTGGTGCGAGTGTGTGTGTGAGTGATGGGTGTGTGTGAGTGATGGGTGTGTGTGTGTGATGAGTGTGTGTGTGAGTGATGGGTGTGTGTGTGTGTGATGAGTGTGTGTGAGAGTGATGGGTGTGTGTGAGTGATGGGTGTGTGATGGGGTGTGATGGGTGTGTGTGTGTATGATGGGTGTGTGTGTGACACGTGTGTGTGTGTGGTAGTGTCCTTTGGTGCGCATGTGTGAGTGATGGGTGTGTGTGTGATGGGTGTGTGTGAGTGATGGGTGTGTGTGAGTGATGGGTGTGTGTGTGATGATGATGGGTGTGTGTGTGTTGTTGATGTGTCTTTGTGTTGCTGTGTCGATGTGCGTGTTAATGTGTGTTGACGTGTGTGTGTTGATGCGCGTGAATGTATTGTCTTTGTGTATATCTTTATTGATCGATATGTTTGCGTGTTAATGTCTTTGCCGTGTGTGTCGTGTGTGTTGTGTGTGTTGATGTTACTGTGTTTGGTGGAGCGGTGGTGCAGTAGTTAGCGCATTGCGCTACGAACCCGAATTCGATTCACGCTCACGGTCAACACCAGTGACAACTATCTTCAACAGTGCTGGGACTCCCCTAGGTCTGTTCAGCCTCAAATTAGTACCTGGTACGATGTGTAAACAGGGGAGACAAAGGCGGCCGGGCATGCTGCTGGCCACCCACCCCCTCGTGTACCGTGCCGGCCTTCATAGGTGCTCACTAACAGCACTTGCCCCTACAGTCTGTTAAGGCTATACAGGTCTTTGTGTTATCGTGTTGCACTTATGTGTGTTAATCTGTCTGTGTGTTAACAACTGTTGTTAGTGTACGTGAAAGTGTGTTAAAAAGCACTAATGAAATGATGTATACGGCGACGTTCATACACATTGCATCTGTACGTGTTGACAAACTTACATGATGAGCCTGTGGTTGTGTGCTCACTAACAGCACTTGTCCCAACCAACTATGTAGGCTATACGCGGAATATGTGTCTTTGTGTAATTGTGTGTGTACAGCTGTCATATGTGTGTGTGCACGTATGTGTGTGTGTGTACAGCTGTCATGTGTGTGTGCACGTGTGTGTGTTTACAGCTGTTATTGGTGTGTGAGGGTATGTACCACTGTGCTAATGTGTTGATGTATGTGTTTGTCAGTGTGTGTGTGGGGAGCGGTGGTGTAGCGGTTAGCGCGCTGCGCTACGAACCTGGCGACCCGGGTTCGATTCCCGCTCACGGCCAACACCAGTGACGATTATCTGAACCGGTCCTGGGCCTCCCCTAGGTCGACTCAGCCTCAAATGAGTGCGATGTGTACACATTGCCACTGGGGAGACAAAGGCGGTCGGGCGTGGTGTTGGCCACCCAGCCCCTCGTGTGCCGTTCCGGCCTTCATAGGTGCTCGCTAACAGCACTTGCCCCTACAGTCTGTTAAGGCTATACGGGGGATCTTTGTGTTCAGTGCATAGTTTCTATGTACACCTGTCCACGCGTGCCTTGTGTCTACATCAGCTGTCTAACCTATGACTAGCAGTAAATTAATGCCCAATGCGTCTATGTACGAGCATCTGTCAGTCAACTCGATCAGTCAACTCATCACATCTGGATCTCTCCCGTCACCTCACATCGAGCTATCCACACACTTCACGTGACTGCACTCAAAATGCACCTAGCCTGGCACAAGCGCTGTGGTGATTGTTGTTGTTGACATCTTGTGTGTGTCTGTTATTAATCGTGTAGGGCTATTTTGACCATACTTCACCACGCCGGTTAATGTGTGGATGGGTGAAGGTGGGGGGGAATGGAGGCTCACAACCGGTTGAGATATCACTCTGCGCTGACGATAGCCGTGGCTAACCACTGCGCCACCGCTCCTCCATCCTGGTGTGTGTCCATGATTCCTTTTCCTCTACATCGCACAGCTGCTCTGGACGTGCCGTGTGCGTGTGTCGGTGCACAGTAACGTATTACCTCCGTACGGTGCGAACGAAGTTCAGCATGCATTGTGATATTCGGAACCTCCTGCGAAAACCAGCCAGGCAGGACCCTCCTTAAGAGAGAATTCCGAGGCGTAGTAGTAGCAATGGCAATCATCTCGTTCCTGAACACACCTGGCTGCGTACGGTGCGAAAGAAGTTCAACATACGCACATGGTGTGCGTGTGTGGGTGCACCGGTCTAAATTCACCTGTCCCGTCGATGCTCGCGACCAGACACCAGTGACGATTATTCTGAGCCGGTCGTGGGCCTCCACTAGGTCGACTCAGCCTCTAAATGAGTACCTGGTGCGGTGTGTAAAGATCGCCACTGGGGAGACAAATGCGGTCGGGCGTGGGAGCTTGCCACCCACCCTATTCGCGTGACGTTCCGGCCTTCATAGGTGCTCGCTAACAACACTTGCCCCAAAAGTCTGTTGATGATATACAGATCGTT